TTCCGGACAAGCTAATTTATTCATTCTTTTTGAGTCACATTTTGAACATGTTAATTATTCGCTGATTAAGCTTGACTGTTTCTATGTAAGCAAATATGTGTGCCCTTCTTATCCTATTCATCAAATATCTGTAACTTATTTTTATGTGACTATAAATATTGATTAACGTTTGATTAAAAGGTATTAACTCGCATGCTTTCTCTATCTACGCATCATTTCACTTCTCCGATCGTTCACCTGGACTAACGATTGTATAAAATATACGTATTCGAAATCGATTCTCGTATTTGACTTATTTAATTCCGTTATTTACTAGTTCGATTTAAGTTGATGATTATGTACGAGGATTGCGGAAGTGCATACTTTTTATAACAATCACTAACATGATCAACTTCGAGACAGATTAAGGGCCACTAAATCATTGATCTGATACGTTGAATAATAGTTTTTATCAAGAATTATTATTAGTTGAAGAACCAGTGAGACAAGACGCCCTCTTTGACACTTATCAAGTGTATGTATATATGACATAAGAGAATGTTCAAAGTATGATTCTTAGATTTTATAAAGTCTTTGATTTAATGTACATAACTGAAATAGAAACTCCACCTGGAGTCACTCCGGGGGCTACTGCCGGCCTCAATCCCGGATAAAGCAGGAGGGTTGGGCGTGGGGTTAGCGACCCCATCCTGTAGAAAACTAACTCGTTAAAAAAACGCTAACCAGAAAAAATTATTCAAACCTTTTAAACTCTGACCTGGGAGTCAGAAGGTCTTTATTTAGAAGAACTATGACGTCTCATGATGAAAGCCGAGTTCCTTCGGAAGTCACGAGGCCGATTCCCCTTCTGACAACCAGAGCAACCATTTATTTAGGTACATAGAATACTCATACAATGTGGGAGACCGGGAGAGTCTTCCGAATTGCTGCAGAACTGAAATAGAACAAATGCGATGATGAGTGTCAAATTATTGATTACAATACGTTTGAAAGAAATTAATTTGAAAAAAAAATAGTTGAGTACATTCCTTTAAAGTATGGAATCAGTCAGTATTTAAGTAGAGTTTTGTTCTCTAAGTTGAATGATTTGGTCGTGGAGCCTTCATTGATGTTCTGAAGAACATTTTCAGCACAAACTTCAGGTAGAAGTGAAATATTCTAATTTCCTCACATATGACTCACAGCTTGATCTGTGGACCACTATCATGATTGGTTATTGTTGACCTTTAACCTGTCATTGTTTACTTCATTTCACTTCTACCTGAATTTTATGCTGATAGTGTTGTTCAAAAGAATAACGAAAGCTTCAAGATCAAACTATCCATATCAGAGAACAAAAATTCACCTAAATCATCCACTTGAACTACATATCTTCTCCACCATCAGCCAGTATGGTAGTTTACATCTAATCTGTAAGAGCAATATATATAATCATTTTAGATAGACATTTGTTGAATAGTGTATTGTGATAGAGAGAGAGCTTTTATTAGTGTTTAATTAGGTACCTAAAATAGGATAGGGCATTTTTACTAAACTTTGCAAACAAATTCTTAGTTTACTAACTGAACAATTGTTTTCAGTAACTTCATCAACAGGTTCTGCATTTATGAGTCCATAATTATTGTGATATTTTATCCGAAACTGGATTTTAAAGGGGACATAGCAGGTGACATTTTAACACGTCGACTCGAAAGATCTGTTGAAAGGACGTTTTACACCACTAAGTTACATATGTTTCTATAAACCAAACCAGTGCTTACACAGCGAATCAAGGATAGGTTGCCGATGATGGGCTTCTCCATATGTGTATAGCAATTTAACTGCTCCTGTGGAGCTAGTTACATAGGCCATACTCATAGGGCTATATCTTTGCGTATTCCTGAACATGTACCAGCATGGTTGGGAAAAGGAGTCACTAAATCGATTAACAGCGCTATTCTTTCTCACTTGGTAGATGGTGGATATCACATTAAGATAAATGAGGCTTTCTCTTTTATTTATCAAGTTCCAAAGAGTCTATATACGGGAGTTAGATTACGGCTACTCTTCATAGCTGAAATCATCTGGGTCAATTCTAGAAAACCAAACTTCTGCATCTAGAAAAAGTATTTTGATGGCGTTTTGTTTTCTGGGCTGGATAGCTTGGTCGTGGAGCTTTCATCTTTATTCTGAACCACGTCGTCAGGACGAACTTCAAGTAGAAGTAAAGTGTTCTAACTTATCCACATATGGCTCACAGCTTGTCTTGTAGACCTCGATGTTGATTGGTTATTGTCGACCTTAAACCTTTAATTCGAACAATTGATTGATCACTGGGTGGTGATCAATGTCATTTGTGTCAGGTCCTCCTCAGTGCAGATCGAACGCTATCGACCAAGTTACAATGTGGTCACCAGTCTAGGTGACTCGACATGGCGTGCACTATGTTGAGATAAGATATTAGTTGGAGGTAGTCAACAGGAAACCCTGGACCTGGGTTTTGTACTACTTGGCAATCGTCAGAAAGGTGTACCTGTAATCATGAGTGAACTGATGCTCCCTGACGGATTCAAACCCGTGTCATCTCCATCTTATCCCAACACAGTGCACGTAATGTCGAGTCACCTAGAGTAGTGGCCGCATTGCAACTTGGTCAATAGGACTCGGCCTGCACTAAGAAGGACCTGACGTACATGACATTGATCATCACCTAGTGATCAATCAATTGTAAATAAATCTCAATCCTACAGGAAGTCAGTCACGACCCGAATAGCTCAATATTGACTGTGAAGCTAGATGACACGAAACCGAATCCATCAGGAAGCATCAGTTCTCTCAAGATTACAGGTACACATTACTGACGAGTGCCAAACAACGTGAAACTTAAATCTAAGGTTTCCTGTTGGGTACTTCCAAACATCATCTCATTAAATGTTGTTGATAAACGTGTCAACAAACCTTTATATCAATATTTATCATCATTCTATAATAAGAATAAATGAATAATTTACTGACTTTGATTTTTCATTCAATTCACTATTTATATTCATCTAGTAAGTTAACATAATGCCATCTTTTCATAGAATTAATTACCGGAATATGACAATTCACATCCAAATACATTTCATTATAATAATTAGTAGGATTCAAATGAAGTTATTAAATTGTTTTGTTTTGACAATAACTAACCGATTTAAGGAAAGAGCCTCATTAATTGTTATAAAAAAAAAAGTGGATGATTAATTACATGTATAGATATGGAACCTCATTATCCATACTGACACAAGACTGTCGATTAACAAAGGCAAACAAGTTTCTAATTTAAGTTAATAACATTATACGGTTGATAACTTCATGGTAATACATAAAACTGATCACGGTTTCTCACTGGAACTCCAAGAATTGCATCATGAAGGTAGTCACTCAAGAGTTGGCTTCAACTTATGTAGTTTTATTAAGAATCCGTAGCCAGTGTAGTTCAACTATGTTGGATATGAGATAGTTATCTACTGCAGACAATGGATGAGAGTTGTACAATATTGTGAATTGATTAAAGTTAGGCATTAACACTGTTAGATCCCGGTTTAGTGGCCTAGAGTCTAAGCATTTGTGCTCAAAACTAATGGGCCTGATTTTAATTTCAAAGTGTTAGGTCGAGGATACATCCTGCTGAAGAGTCTTATACTAGGATAAAACAAGAATACAGCATTCCCAGATTCCAGTTTCTGAAATTTCTTGATGTAGAAAAAAACATCATTGATATGTTCACTTCAGACTACATTAATAGACATTTGCTGTAATAAATTCTGATCATGTACATTTTTACACTTCCTCAATGGGTATTAGTACATTTTTAACTGAAGGGGAGTATTGTATCCAGATTCAAGTACGTTATAAATAACCTTTATCAAAAGTGTTTACTTGTTATATCCAGTGCTAACTAATACTGAGAAATCCTGACAATTGAAAATTATCTAAAGAGGAATGTAATTTATACAACATAATTCTATTCCTAAACACCCGGTCAATTTGATTTATATGAACCCACTAGAACTGTAGTGAACGAGAACATACAAGTGGGAACAATCGAATATATTTGAACACAAAACTACAGAATCTCTTAGTAAGATCTGAGAACCATACAGTAAATACTTCATTTGCAAAATGTCAATCAATTGTCTTAAACTTGAATGTTCCTTTTGCAAATATCAGTTAATCGTCTCAGACTTCATTGTTCTTTGGTTTCCACAATAGTCATTCTCTGTTCTCGTTGTCTTTTCTTTAATCTTCTTGACCTTCTGCTTCCAAGTATCTCATTTTTCTGTTGATGATACATACTACTTATGTCTGTCGAAATCAGTAGTACATGCCACAAAACCACTATAAAATGAAAAGGATTTTGACTCTAGAAATGCATACACAAGTTTTTACAAATCCATTAATGCTAGATTTATCTCAGTGTTTCGAAGGACAGTGTTTACCTTTACAGTTTACTGATTTCTTAAACTCCCTTTCTGGTTTTAGAAGTTGTCATTATAACTTATCCGTTTCTGCTTAACTTGTTAAACTCTTATCATACAGTATTAACAATGTAATAGATTGTCATGTGAAGAACAACAATATGTGAGGTTGTAGAAAGAAACTTTTCTCTAATAAACTATCATAATTTTCAGCATATAGTTGTGGAGATTGTTGAGTTTTGATTGAGATCATGAATCGATCAATGTTGGAGCACCATTGAAAACATAGAAGTATTGAACGACCATTTCGTCCTCGTATGAGACTCCTCAGCAGTGTGCATCCACGATCCCTCATACAGCAACCAAACCTAGGACCTTCGGTCTAGCGCGTGAACGCTTAACCTCTAGATCACTGAGACAGTATCCGATGGTGTTAGTCATCAGTTAACTTTTAACGAGTTAAAAATCACTTATTTAATTCATTTTCAATCATATACTAATAATCAGCATTATCATCTTTATTTAGTAAGTTTATTTTCCCTGTACTTATTTCCTAATCAGGTTTCTCTGGATTGGCAGTAGCAGGCTACGCTGTAAATGTGATTGATTTAGCTCCTAATTTCTCAGGTTTGGTTATGGGATTCGCTAATAGTGTCAGTACATTTACAGGTAAGTAAATAAAGGTATATATATAATATCAATTGTGTTAATTAACATGATATTCTACATTGATTAATATTTCAATGATAACGTATGTCATTTGTCTGGTTCTAAATGCTAAGTGGATCCTTTCAACTAAGCTGTTAATTAGTTACTATGCCAGTTTTCAGCAGATTTTTAAACGGGTTGTTTTTATGTGTATCACTATGCAACAAAATATTGATATGAACATTAATTTATATAAAATATGGAATACATTAGTAATACATTTAGTTCTAAAACTATACTGGTTGTTGTAACCAATACAGTGATATGTACATGTAATGAGCTATTTTCATATTACTGATTATCTTTGTCGATGATACTCAACACATTTTTGAGAGTATCAACCCAAATTATGCTTGTTAATTTTCTAGTATGTAGTGTTATAGAGATGATTGAACTCTATAGTTTTACATTAACAATTGAACTTCGTTAGATAATCATTAAAACTCAGAGACCAATTTTGAATTGCTCAAATTTGTCCGTCAACGTTCAGTATAAGAAACACTTTGTAAAAGATACCTTTATTAAATACCTAAACTGATTGGTATCGGTAAGTAAGCTTCTCCGATACAACACAGCATGCAACAATCCAATCACAATCGACAGAGAAGATTTGGAAGATGTAAAAGCCTTTACATATCCAGGCAGCATCATTGATGAAGACAGTGGATCTGATACAGATGTGAAGGCGCAGATAGGTAAAACAAGAACAGAATATCTGCGATTGAAGAACACCTGGAACTCAAAACAACTGTCAACCAACACCAAAGTTAGAATTTTCAACACAGATGTCAAGACAGTTCTACTGTATGGGGTGGAAACCTGGAGAACCACGAAAGCCATCATCCAGAAGATACAAGTATTTATTAACAGCTGTCTATGCAAAATATTTCGGATCCGTTGGCCAGGTACCATCAGCAACAACCACTACTATGAGAGAAAACAAACCAGATTCAAGCGGAGGACGCACTGAGAGTAAATAGGAAAAATGCTAAGGAAAGCACCAAACTGCGTCACAAGGCAAGCCTTCATTTCGAATCCTTAAGTTCAAAGGAGGAGAGGAAGACCAAAGAACACATTACGCCCAGAAATGGAGACAAACAGATATGAGAAGAATGAACGACAATTGTGTAGAACTAAAAAGGAAGGTGGAGGACAGAGTGGGTTGGAGAATACTGGTCGGCTGCCTATACTCCATTGGAACTAACAGGTGTAAGTAAGTGAATAATTGATAAGTAAATTCCATTGTCAAAGAACAAAATCAGAACTGTACAGAATCTTTATTGATTTTAATATGGATGCTACTTTTTTTATTTCAAACAAACTCTTAACCATATCATGTCATTACTGACATAGTGAATAATAAGAACTCCATTTTTTATACTATTGAATAAATATCGTTCTTTTACATGGTTACTATACTATTGACTTGTAATATAATTGTATCCATTTATCTGATAATCTGTATGCAGGTACAGTAAAAAAAAGGATGAGAAATCATTTGTTAGTGTGTTTTATTTAGACTAGCTAAGTTAACTTTACGGATAGTGATCTTCTCCCGGTTGAATATATTATTGGCAGCAGTGTCCCGCTCCAAAATAAAGAATCCTAATCATAAGCTTAGAAAGACTATCAAACTACGGAAATAATCATTATAGACATTTAATTATAATGACGTTTTTTTGATCATTCATCATTTTTGTAATCTATGTTGTATTAATGGACTGTAAGTCATTTTTAGTACCACACGTTGTTTTGACTTTTGTGGCCGGTTAGATTATCAAGTGATTTATTCGCCAATCGAAATATGACTTATTCACTTTTGTACTATGCTAAACCAATGACGTTCGACCGGTATGAGCAAGCAACCTAGCGTCCTTATTGGTCCTTTGTTCGCCTAACCCGTTCAGTTAAGTTCAGAATGCCAATAACTGTCCCCACTATGCAAATCATTTATTACAAACATACTTGGTTTATATACCAGGCAAACAGACCGCATCACATCATAAAATAGGAAATAACATTTATAAAAGATCAAACCAAAAAGTGGTTGTGAACGTAGGAGACTGTAACCAACTGGACATAACTTAAGGATGCAATATTGGTCTCTATTAATAGTTCTCAAAAGTTAACCATAATTTAATCTTCACTAGGATATAACACACGTGAGTAACAGTAAAATATAACTTTAAGAACTAGTCATTCCTAAGCATCATAAGTTGAGCTTACTTCTATAACACTGAACATTGAATATTGAGGTAGACACTAGTTGGATTTGGGTATCACACATTTCAAATTTATAGTCTTATCAATTGACGTATCCTTTATGTTTCGTACTCAATGCCTGATAACAGTTTTGCACAGTCAGTACGCTCACGATACAGATACTTTGTATTCAAAACTGACATCAATCAAATCAAGAATGTTTAAACAAATAGGTATAAGGCTTGTGACTTGAGGTTATATCGTTGCAATCCGCACAGGCTACACATATGCCAACATGAGACTGACCAACTGCAGTCCTAAATAACAATGGGAAGATACAAGTAAAACAACACCAAGTGAATATACAAATTCATTCGGAAGTAAAAACACAATCAAAAGCTTTTACTTCATTTAGACTTTGAATTGAAAGTCATCTTATACTATGAAACTTAATGGCGGTAATAAATTTCTTTCATATGTAGCTTTCTTTCCTTTTTATTTTATTTAAATTTGCCAATTAGTGACGTACTAAGTAGTCCGTTCTATCATAAATAAATATAAATGGGAGTTTTGCTACATATTCCATATATATTCTAACTTCCGTTATAGTAGATTACGTTAATAATGATAAGAACGATAATAATAATAATGTCAAATACTAATAACGGTTATCTATTATAATGGTTACTAAGACAACTATCATATCACTGTCGAAAACAAACTTTTAATAATACCGTTCATTTCTATATTGCTTGATATCAGTATTGATGTAAAAAACGGTATTCCTATTTAATCCATTATAAAATGAATATAGAATTTCATACACTATAAACTATTTAACTGACAAGCTTTTAAGCAAAGATGGATAGTGGTTAACAGTGGAATCCAGGACGCGCGTTTTGTTCTATTTGGGACTCGTCAGTTGGATTTACCTGCATCCTAGTTTTGATGTTTACTCTACGACTCAAAATTAGTACCGTTCACTTCAAACGTCATCACATTATCCACTTAACTACTAAGTCCTGATAGCCACCTGCTTTTGCAATGGGGTGAAGTTCTTAAATTCACTTGATGTTGTTTGCTTGTATCTTCTCATTGTTATTTAGGACTGCAATTTATCGGTTTCATGTCGGTATATGTGCATCCTGTGCACATTGCCTCAATATTGCCTTAAATCATAAGCTTTTTAAGCAAAGATGAATAGTGACTAACAGTGGAATCCAGAACGCAGTCCTGGACAACAATGGGAAAATACAAGTAGAACAACATCAAGTGAATTTAAACTTCACCTCATTAAACGAGCAAGTGACGTGATGACGTCTAAAATAAACGGTAGTTAGTTTGAATTCCATAGGGAATATCAACTCTGGAATGCATGTACATCCAACTGACGAGTCTCAAATATGACGAAGTTTTGCACCTCCTGGATTCCACTGCTAGCCACTCTCTATCATAGGTTATAGTTTAACAGTGAAATTAATGCACATCTATTATCGCTTATGTGTTTTAATATCAAAATCTATTAATCCAATACAGTTTATCTACTTTAATAACCAACTATAAATGATATTCACTTAGTCAATAATGAATAAAATATTATAAAGGATTTGTAAAGATTAGTGAATTTCACAACATATATCATAGTTTGGATTATATTTCAACAATCGTTATATTCTAGAAACCATTGAACAGTTTACTTATCATTAGTTGTATATACATCTACAGTTCCACAAAATGTCAAATGTACTACTATTGAAGTATCTTCTATGAAGAAACAAACTCTACCTAATGATCTATAGTTTTACAGTTTATTATTTAAATTATGAAATGAATGAAATACAATAAAAAGACATTTTATATTCTATTTTTTCTCTTCTCTTCTCTTCTCTTTATCATGATATTAATAAATGTTAAAAAAAAAAAGGAAAACAAAACAAAAATCTCATTTCTATGTCTGAATTGAAACACAATCAGGATTTCCGTATCCGTTGATATCAATGATACAAGAAATAAATTTATCTGTCATTGTTTCCCTCTCCAAACCTCCCTCCCCCCTCTCTCTCTCTCCAAAATTCATGTTTTTCACAGAATTTTTTTTTCTAAAAAACAAAGGGAGGGATATGTGATAACATTTTGTAGACATGAAAAACATACAATATCAACTTAAATGTCAATTACAATTTCTTCTTTTTTTTGTCTTTATAACTCAATATCAATTAACAAAGTTCTCATTAGGTTGTATATGTGACAATGAATGAATGAATATTAGTAGAAGGAGGTTTTGTGGAGATCTTATCAATTTTATAGTTGAATTTATTAGTCAACTAAGGTTAGACCATCATGGGAAACCTAGAAGCACTGAACAGCCGTTTCGTTTCAGTATGAGATTCTTCAACAGTGTGCATCCACGATTCCGCCCTGTAAGATTCGAACGCAAGACCTATCAGTCTCGTGCGCGAACGCTTCACCTCCAGATCATTGAAAGAATGAATGAATGAGTGATAAGGCTTAGTTTTTATTCTTGCATCTTGATTGTTTCCGATAAAAATGTGTAATCAGTTCAAATAAATAATGAATTTTTATTAGAATGAAGGTTTATGGAGTTTATAGCGATTTCGAAAGTTGAATTCATTAGTTAATGTCAGAAAACCTTGAAGTAGTGGATGATTGTTTCGTCTTGGATTGTCCATGATTCGATTGAAGTTAGACATTAACAGCGTTCGATGCTGATTACGTGGTCTAG